GATTGTATTTTTATTTCCGTTCGCCTAATATTTATTTTAAATTTTTTCAGTCAATATTTACACACTCCGGGGTGGGCTGCGGCACCGTGTAATAAAATTTTAAGACTCACGAGGCAAAAAAGGAGTCATCCAAACGCTCTGGGCGGCTCTGGCTCGTCAGCATTAATGGAGCGATCTGTGCTTGTTTTATGGGAAAATTGCGAGAGATTTGCCGGATAAACGACCTTAATTTCACCCTGGTGCATTTTAAAGTAATACACCGGGTGATGACTTTCAATAATTCGCGATCGTTCATTATTGTGGTGATTTACGGCGATGACTTTCAGAAATTTGTGGAATTCGCGTGCTGCTGTCATTTTTCGTCTGGATGTGTGCGATTTTGAACGGACGATTTGAGGCCAATTGCGACTCAAATGGCATTTTTCTTGAGTTGCAAAAATTTCCTCCACGCTTCAGTAATGATCAATGCAGTCAGCAGTTTGGAATCGCGATAAAAATGTGTGTATAAAACGTGCCAGTTAGTGAGAGATATAGTCATTGATTGACAAGGTCTCTGCAAAATCTCCTTTCTATATGAATTTTTACCTGAATTCTAAACGTGAATAATTATGCATTCAGTAGGGATCATTTCACTCGTGTTTCTTTTGCTTATCTACAGTAATAAATTCTGCTCCAGTTCACTCATGTTTAATTAGCAAAAAGTGTGCAGACCGAGTGGAAAAACACGCGGAGGTACAGGGGACGCGAATGTCAGGACTAATAAGTTATCAGCGATGTAAGGTCGGAACCGGCGGCGGCAAACGCAAGAAAGAAAACGTATTGATTGGGGATTTGCGGTTGTTTAGTTTAAAGGCTCACGTGTCGGAGAGTAAAGAGGTCACAGGAGTCGTGGTTGGGTCATCAGGAGGTCAGCGGTACTTACTTCTTCCTAAACGAACAGAAATTAAAACATTTGTTATTACACGGCTTAGTTAGAAGAACGCAAACAAAAAGATAAGAAATTTATACAAATAAACTACAACAGAAAAAGGAAATAAACACAGAAAGGTTTAAAATCCGTGACCTGGAGCAGAATCACTTGGGATTTGTAGAAATACTTTTTCCCGCTCAAAATGTAGCTCTAAAAATCTATCAGTTGGTCATAAATTGCCAAATTGGCTAATGAAATTGAAAGGGGGAATCATATTTTTATATCAGAAAGCCGATTTAATTTTTCGTTTTGAATTTGAATTGAAGGTTTGGTGAATAAGTAATCTCTTTGTTACATAAACCTTAGTAAGAATATTTTCTAAAAAAAAAAAAAACGTTAAAATAAGTATTAATTTATTGGAACTGAACGAATTGAATCAAAACTCTAACTTTTTGAATGATAAATTGTTTGAAATTAGTGCATTAAGTCAGGAACTACGCTCTGTGGATTTAGATATTAGTTTTTTTTTTTATAACTATAAAGGCACTACTAGGTGATAGAAAAGCATGCAGAAATGAATTAGTGATTTGTAATAAAATCTTTGGTTAGTAATTCAATAAGCTCCATTGAATAAATTATAAAAGCAATGTTCAAATTTATGTATGCAAAATAAATTCAACTTAAAAATTTAAAACGCTTTCGTTCATTATCCACTGTTTAAATAAAGCCTCTGGTATATATTTTACCAATCTTTCTACTGTGTAAATACAATTAAATCAAGGCTGGTTGATCTCCTTTCGAGCACCTGCAGGTGCACCAAGCGCCGACCAAGATTAATTAGGAATCAAAATACCGAGTAAATAAAAATGCCGTTTGTAATCTGAGCCAGGAAATCAAATAAACGAGAAGCGCGGCGCATTCGGGCGACGAAAAAAATCCGGCTCACTGCATCGATCTCTCTTTTTTCTATGCGGAGACGAAAAACAAACACAAGTGCTGCATTTGTGTGGTCCAATTTGGCTTTGAACACTAGTGGCTTATCTGGGAGTGAGTAATTAAGTAGCGGAGGAGAATACAAGCTGTCGGTTCCACTCGCAGCTCACCACCTTGCTTTAGGTTCAAGAAATGTTTATTGGGTTCGAATTTAGGGCAACTATGCCCCATACATGAACTCATCCAAATAAATGACAAAAAACGAAAATTTTAAAACAAGAGAGAGAGAAAACATTAGTATTGCTCAAAATATTGCTTTTTCAGTACCGATTTAAAAAAATTAACATTTTCATTCAAACATAGATTTGATGGTAACTCATTCCAAAGCCTATAGCATTGAACTTGAAAACAGTTTTCCGGTACCTCCACACTAACAAACGGTGCGAGCAATTTCATTCGGTGCGCTCTCGTGCGCCCGAGCAAATTTACATCATACATTGTCGTAACGTAATCGTTCAAGTACTCTGGACTATTTTTATACAAGATTTTGTGTGTCTGAACTAGAATTTTCAATTTATGCCTGTCCGCGATTTTCAGAATTTCACATTTTTTATACAAGGGTGATAAATTTTGTCCGATCTTTACATCAAAAATATACCTGATTAAATGATTTTGCAGTACTTGCAATTTGTTAATTAGCGTGGCTGTCAAATTACAGTAAACAATGTCACAATAATCAAAGTGTGGCAGAATCAAGCTTTTGACAAGTCTTATACGGACTTTCTCGGGAGTAACATTTCTGAATTTTTCAATACTTTTTAAAGTACCGTAAACTTTTTGCGATACTCTAGACACTTGCGCGTTCCAAGACAAGTTCTTATCAAACATAACACCAAGATTTTTCGCATCTTGCACAAAATCTAACTCAACATCATTTAAATATAATTTTTCACTTAACATCGCAGAGATTTTAGAATTATTTCGTTCAGAACAAACAAACATAGCTTGCGATTTACTCGGGTTGAGTTTCAGTCCATTCGCTTCCGACCAATACACGACATCTCTTAATACTTCGTTCATGATTTTAACACACTCGTTTACATTATTCGACAGGCAGCTAAGATATAGCTGAGTGTCGTCCGCATAAACGTGATACTTGCACCTATCCTTTAGCACTGCCGATAAATCGTGCGTGTACAGAGAAAAAAGGAGCGGCCCAAGAACTGAACCCTGGGGCACGCCACATTCAATATTCATCCACTTAGAAAAATTTCCATCACTGTTCTTAATTGCATGCTGACGGCCTGATAAATAACTTTCAAAGAAGAGCAAAGCAGGTGCGGAAAAATTCAATTGATTTAGTTTACTCAGCAAAAGACCATGGTCAACCAGATCAAATGCTTTTGAGAAATCAAGAAAAACCATTAACGTTACTTCATTTTTAAACATAGAAACTCTCAAATCCTCAGCAATTTTTAACAGAGCCGTTGTCGTGCTGCGCAATTTCCGAAATCCGGATTGAAGCCTATCAAGGACCTCATTTTTTAATAAAAATTCCATCATTTGATCAAAGACAATTTTTTCCAACACTTTTGAAACAACACATAACAAGCTAATTGGCCGGAAATCAGAACTACTTGCGGGGCTGCGAACTTTTGGCAGAGGCATCAAAATAGCTTTTTTCCAGATAGCTGGGAAATATGACGTTTGCAGCGCAGAGTTGATAATAAACGTGAGAGATGGCAGAATTACATCAATAATCATGAGCAGCATTTTGTTACAAATATTGTCGGTACCTTCAGAGGGTGACTTTATACTTTTCAGCGCTAATTTCACTTCCAATGGGGTTACATGTTTAAAATAAAATTTATCGCCTGAAATTTTACGAGGGATTGAGAAATTTTTATCAATTTTGTTCAAAATATTAGAGGGTCTTTTCACGGTCAAATCATTTACAAGGTCGTCAGAACTTAGAGAAAGCTCGGCAACTCTGGATTTATCTTTCACCAAACCTAAGCCTCGCAACTTACTCCACATATGCTTTGTTCCTGAGATTTGATTTAGACTGTCAAAAATCACTGATTTTTGGAAATTTAAAATTTTTTGTTTAACTTTGTTTCTCAGTGATTTAAACAAATTAAATGCAATTATATTGCCATCTGATTCTGCCTTTCTTCTCGCCTTATCCCGGTCTTTAATCAACGCTTTGACACCAGGTGGGAATGAGGGCTTAAATTTTTTTCATTATTTTAATTTTTTTCTTTGGTGCTACTTGATCAAACAGCGATACAATTTTTTTATTAAAAGATTCAACTCTCGCTTCAAGTGAAATATTTTCAACTTCCTCGTGCCAACTTATTTTAAACGCTTCAGTACTTAACAAGTTGCGATCAATTTTACCAAACTCACGGATGTATTTAAAGTCACTCATACTTTCTGGAAGCTCACCTTCAATAATAACATAAAGCATTTGATGGTGTGATAGCATATTAAACAATTTGCCAAAGCTTGCATAACTAACTTCTGGAGAAACCATTATTGCATCAATTGTTGTGACTGCGTTATAAGAAATGTGCGTGTTTTCAATGGGAAGCCTTTTGATGCCAAGCTGTTTAATATGTGCCTCTAAGTTATTAAGGAGATTTGAATTTACTTTGAAGTTACAGTTGAAGTCTCCGAGCAGAACACAATTATCGTATTGAAAATAAATATTTTGCATTTCATTAAAAAGATCTTCAAAGTTAACTTGTGGTGATGGCCTTCTATAGACAGCCACAAGCAAAATCTTTTCATTCAAAATTTGAACTTCCACCATTAAATACTCTGCCGAATTATTTTTACTCTCCGAAGAGGCGCAGACCACTTTGAACTTTAAATTACGTTTTAAGTAAAAAGCAACACCGCCGCCGCGAGTTTCTTTCCTATCGTGCCTGATTAATTTATATCCTTCAATTTCATACCTTTTATCAATATTATGTTTCTCTTTGAGCCACGTTTCGGATATACAAACAACATCAACAATTTGCAAAGATAAATTTGTTCGGAGCAAACGCACATGATCCAAGTCCGCGAGTGACTGAGCATTTATACTAACAACTTTTAAATAATTTTCTGCTTTTTTCTTCTTATCACAAAAAAAGTGTATAACTTCACTTACTAGTTTCAGTTTTGGCTGTTCACATCTGAGTCCGACCCTCGCTTGCTGTTGGCCGATCGCAGCCTGTCCAAGCTCCTCGTCGACTGGCCCCTCGGGGGTTGCTTTGCCTTGTTGTCCTTGCTGTTGGACTTGCTGTTGGGAGGGGCTGAGGCAAAACCCTGTTGGGACCCGCCGGCTTGGGGCTCGGAGGGCTGCTCGTTGGGTGAGAGTAAGGCTGCAGCTCGGTTCCTCTTCTTATTCCTCTTCTGCTTGGGTCGACCGTCTCTGGTATCTGAGCTGGACCCCTCACTCTCACCATCCATCTGCTGCTGCTGGTCGAACTGCGGCACGTACTTGCGGAGCCAGCCGTCCTTGGCCACCTCGGCAGCCGAGATCTCGTGCCCATTGAGCTCAAGACCACGGCGGCGCAATTTTGACTGGACTCCGAGCTTTCTAGCAGTCTTATGGGCCTCGACCAGCTTCCGCCTGACCTTTCGTTCCTCTGGTGTTAGGTCATCGGACACGACAATTCCAGTTCCTTTCAGATTTGCAACATTTTTCATTACTGAAAATTTGACTTGGTCGGTTTTAAATTTTAGAATAACCGGGCGCTTCGCGGCGTCCTCTTTGCCGATCCTGAAAGTGGCCTCAAGAAGCTCGTCCTGCGGGCGGTGAGGCAGCTTCAGCTTGTTGAAAAGGAGATCGCCGACGGCGCTCTGCAAGTTGGTAGCAGTAGGCACGCCGAAAACCACCAGGTTTTTCCGCCGCAGGTCGGCTTCGTGCGAGGCCAGACGATTTTCCAGTTGGGTGACTCGGACAGACAATTTAGCGTTTTCCGATTCCAAATGTTTCACTTTTTCGGCCCCCGCCTCCACCTTGGCCACCAAATCATCCATCGTTGTTTTCAGCGCCCCAATATTTTCATTAGTGAATTTCAATTTCTCATTGAGCTGGCCGTCGAGAGCTGACAGAAAGAAAGCTTTATCGTCCTCATTCAAAGGGCCAGGATTGCTTTCAATATCGCCCATGGTAAGCAGTAGAAGAGACAAATAGAGGCCGGTGCCGAGAAAAATAGTCAGGATTGTTAGTCCGTTTCCTACCTCCACAGACAGTTTGGCGACGATACAGCTGGTTGGCGAGCGAGTTGTCAGCAAGCCGTGAGGCAGCAGTAGGAATCTTGCAGGTTCGTGCGCGTCAAGGCCGCAGCCCCGGCGCGCGATTCTCCTCCTCGCCGCTCGGCTGGTTCGTCCTTGAAAGCAACCGTAATGGGCGAGCAATTGCCAGACAGGAAAAGCCGGCCCCCGGACAGAAGAGGCGCCGTCCGCGCCGTCCGATTGCCGGTGTCCCGTCTGGAACCATTCACGATGACTCTGGTCATGGTGTCCGGATGGTGGCAGCCGGAGAACCGCTGAAAAACACAGAAATAGCAGCAGCCGCTGCAGCGAACGTCTGTCAGCGGCCATGCTTCCCCCTCTCTCTCGCTTTATTAGCCGGGATAGTATAAAAGAGTGGCCCAGCAGATAACATGCATGCGCGCAGCTGATGGATTGATTGCAGCCAATTAACGAAACTCGGATCGCAGTTTAGAAAAGCGCACCACTTTTGGGGCCATTAGCGAAAATTCGTAAAGCAGCGAGAGAGCAGTTTTGTCTTCTGACAACTTTTCCATGAATATATCCACGAAAATAAATTTATTTCCAGCTGTCATCACGCGAAACAGTCATCAAGGGCCGGGATAAAGTTTTAATTGTCAGATTTTTAGTTAGTCACGAAACGGACTAAACTCTTCTCGTATTCGAGTGTTTGTTCCTTTGGGCGGGCCTGGATTTTGACGTTTTCACGTGAAACTGCTAATTTCGGAAGATTGATTGTCCGCGGTTAATACTTTTCCAAAACTTTCATATAAAAAAACGCATATGGAACCCTTTTGTTTACCCAAACGCCCGTGGCTGGTGAAGTTTTTCATTCAAGAAATTATGGTAATGAACATCACGATTTGACATTTATTGCTTTCAGAAAATTGATTTCTTAAATTGATCAATAACTAATAGCCTCAATTTCTTGGATTGAATGCTAAATAAATAAAAAAAAAATAATTTTTTTATCATATATTGACTCAAATTTAAAAAAAAAAAAAATTATTGCAAACGCAAATCAAAATATATTCACAATATTTTTCTTTTCAGCATTTTGAAACTCGCTTGAAAATGACTTTTAATTATTTAAGTACAAATTTTAAACATTAAAATTTACATATTTTAAAAAAAATTCTAAAAATTGAATTTTTTTGGTTAAAAAAATTTAAATTGTAACTTCAAACTTAACTAAAAGATAAAATTAGAAAACTAATTGAAATTTAAAATATTTTATTTCTTTTACAATCACATAAGATTGCTTCGTCATTTGTCCCCTTCATTCAAATCTGCGTATGTATATTTGAGAGCGGACCCGGGTCAGCGTCCTGCCCGTGTCGCCGTGCTCGTAATTATCAAGCCACGGTGGTCCTTTCATTCATCCACGCATAATTTGATTCAAAAATGCTGCCAACGAATCCATACATCATTTTTTTCCCGCTCCACAACCGACTGAGTGGGCGGACGGCACCACAAATTTGACAAGTATAATTGGAGGGAAATAAAACTAAAATTATATATCTTTATCCCTTTCATCGAACTGGAAATGTTTGTTTTCTCTCACAAGTGATATTGAAAGGACATTTCGGCAGGTAGGGAAATAAAGAAGCTTCCTGATGTGGGTATATATGTATGTGTGTCCACATTTTGGGTGGTCGTTAAGCCTCTTATTATGTCGGTCCGTGCTATATGGACCAGAACTGGCCGCTGCTATATCATATACGAAATAAGAGAGCGTTTGTTTGCCCGTGAACTATTGAGAGCGCTCGAAACTTAATCCGCCTTTTGAAGTGTCTTAGATCAGCGCCTTATGACTTAATCACACACACACTCGCGCACTTCTTCATTCAATTGAAGCCGAAGCCCACCAGCGAGCGAGCCGGCCACCTGCTGGCTCGGATTTATTCATCGCAAAAATCAATGTTTGCCAAGGTTTCACGTTGCCAACCTTGCACAATTAATATGCTTTGAAAGTTTGCATTGCGGCATTAAATTTCAGCAAAATTTGCTAATATGTTTGCCCAAAATGAGAAGTATTATATTTGCTGACAAGTTCGTTCACTAATTTGTTAAATTAATTTAAAAAAATAATATTTAAATATCAAATAGCTTTTGAGTAAAAAGGCCATGGAGAGTTTTATGGAGATGTATTTTTATATAGTGATATTATGACTGCTAATTTTTTAAATAAACTGAAGATTGAGGAAGCATAATATATTGTTGTTTAATGCATAGGAAAATTCATCTTTTTTTTTAGAGTTAAAGTAATTATTTATTTGATTAAATTTAAATGTATCAAAAATAAATTACAGAAATCGAGAAAATTTTCCACATATGTTCATTTATTGAAAAAATTTTTTCTATTAAAACATTTATCTTACCCACGTTCAATGTTATAGCCATTGCCAATTACTGTTCTTTTTTAAATTGCAAATCATATTACTGACAAATTGATCATTATGGGCTAATTATAGAGGCAATCAAGATCAACATAATTATCTGGATTTTCATAATTAATCATCACATTTTGTTCGCAATTTGCTTCTTCTAAAAGTCACGTCTGCATGCAGCTCTTTTAGTCTCCCCTCTGTGCCGTTGAAATTCCGAGTTCGCATTCCAAGAAAATTCTGGCAATTAGCAAATATAAACATTTCCCTCCACCCCAAGTGCGCGCATCAACCCTCTAATTTCGCCCTCTCCAAGAACGTTTCCTTGCCTTATTTCGGTGCCAAGCCGCGTGTCTTCCTTCCTTTTCGTCACAAGAAGGAAGAAACTCCGTTGGCGTTTTTGCGCCGTATGAACTCGCTGCTGGTGCGGCGAGTGATATATGAGTCTGCGAAAACTGTCTTAATTACACTGTGCCGCTTCAGCAAAGAGACATTTCGTCGGCACTTGAGCCCTTTCACGGCGCGCGTGCAAGTAAAGTGAGAAGGGCGGCAGGAATTCGCTTTCGCGCTAAAAGGCTCGTTACGCCAACATTATTCACGTACTTTGAGTTAATTAAGTTGCATCTCTAGCCTCCTAATAGAACCGGGAAATTATCTCCCAACTCAATTTTCACCTCTTGCCTCTTGCAATTTGAAAGCTGGCGAAATTTGTATTAGCAATAGCTTGGGTGGGCTTTTCATTTCACCCTAAATTTATTGAAAATAATCCACTTTCAGATTAATTATAACATGCAATTATTAATATTGCTTATATAGAAAATTACAAAAAAATTAGCTTTAATTAAAAATTTAAAGGTCATTTTAACAGATCTTCTTATATTTAGTTGATTTTAGGGAATGAAATGTTTAATTTAATTGTTGTTAGAAATGCAAATCTTCTACACGGAAACTGCTTTTGTTGCATAATTTTAAAATTTTTATTCTCATGTTTAGACAAAGTACTTATTTTCGCTACGCATGTTTTTTCGAAGACTTTATAAAATTATAATAAATATCATTATAACAATTCGTAGAAAGTTGCACATCAAATTTTAGTCCCTCCCATAAAAAAGATAAATAAAAAATTTCCGTACAAAAAAAAAATGCCGAAGCTTGTTCAAATCTCAATTAAAAATTTTTGAAATAGATTAAAATGATTTTGATGCATTAAATAGAAATATGATTAAATGTATATTTCTGTGTTTCTTCTGCTTCTTTTTACATCCCAATTGCAGAACTTTCAATTGCAGCCCAATGTTAATTTTCAATTACATCTTCAAGCCATCTGCTGCAAATTGATAAATGCGAGTTGGTTTTTTTTCTTTTGCGTGTTTAGGCATAAAATAGAGCGCGCAGAAGGCGGGCAGGCGTTCTTCATTACGAAAACCACGCTTGTTCCTGTCACTCGGGCCTTGTTAAAAATCAATTTCCCAAAACTAATAATAACAGACTAAGCCGCTCGCCCGGCTGCCTCTTCCACGCTCCGGTGTTGGCAGCTCTTTTTAACATGATCCGAGCGGACGGCGGTACTTTTCATTTCAGAGGTGCTTCCTCCGATGCTCGCTCGCGCTCGAAAAAGTTAATTGTTTTACAAGCGTGGTCAAATTTTCGGTGCCTATTTTCACTCTCTTCCTCTTTTTACAACTTAAAAATAAAAAACAATAAAAAAAACGCCATAGCCGAGGTGTCACTCTCTCGCATGTCGCATCTGCCCGTTGTTTATTTTTTGGATGCATCTGCCAGTGTGCAGTTGATTGTTTGTTAATTTCGTTGATAGGTGTGCAACATCCATGTAATTAGTGCGTTTAAGTTTCTCTCTCCACACCGGCGAGAAAGACCTCCCATGCACCGACCGCGCGAATAATGAAATTAGAGGAATTAGGAGCTATTATGTATTGTAAAATAACACTCTCTCTCATCGTTGGAAATGTAAATTTTACCAAAATGCAGCATAATATAAAATTATAAAAGCGCCGTCAGAAACGCGAAGCCGCTTTTGTATTCAAATTATGTGTGGTGCTATCTGGGAATTATTATTTATGGCTGTCGTAAGGCCAACTGACAGATGTTCCTTCTGCGCCACTCTCTCCGATTTACATAACAAATTGAGATAACAAAACAAACACTCTAGCGACTGTGCGTAAATATATATCAAATGCGAATGGTTTTTATAAAAAAAAGACAAATATACTGCGTGCATGTAAATTACCCTTATTATTGCCCAATTCGCTCTTTTTATTTTATTGCGTTGTCTCGCGGGTCTTTTATTTTTATTGTTTCCTCCTTGACAAGGGGCTGTGCGGCAACCTGCTCTAGGGTACATCCGTGAGGACATTTCAGTTGTCTTAGTCACAACCGGATTTTATACCAGGCAGTAGAAGCTTTTTAAAACGACTTAATTTAGTTTAAAATCATTTTAATTACATTTTTCTGCAATTTAATTATATTTAACTATCAATTTAGTAAGTATACATTAAAACACAATTAAAGATGTTTTATTTTATTATTCAATTTTTTTTTATTTTATCAAATGAAAAATTTATAAATAACTTTTTACTGTAAAAATTTTCAAGCACAAAGCATTCAATTTTTCATTTTCTTTTTTAATTTTTGCAATCATTTAATTAATTATATATTTTACGCACCGATTGTGTTTATTAAAACGTTACTGTACTGAGTATAAGTATTTCAGTGGGCTTCCGCTAGTCTTTAAGTATTTTAAATAATACCATTAAACATATTGAATGACAAAAAATTATGTAAAAAAATTTGTGGAAAAAATGAAACCAATTTATTTTAAATGGTTAACTCATATTTTAAGCAAGAACACATTGTACGTCTCAATTCTC